CCAGAGTTCCCCATTCATGTACGGACCCTTCACTGCCCAGTAAGAGTCCCAGGCCCATGGTGACAGTTCCCAGAGTTCCCCATTCATGTACGGACCCTTCACTGCCCAGTAAGAGTCCCAGGCCCATGGTGACAGTTTCCAGAGTCCCCCATTCATGTATGGACCCTTCCACTGCCCAGTAAGAGTCCCAGGCCCATGGTGACAGTTTCCAGAGTCCCCCCATTCATGTATGGACCCTTCCAGTGCCCAGTAAGAGTCCCAGGCCCATGGTGACAGTTCCCAGAGTCCCCATTCATGTATGGACCCTTCCACTGCCCAGTAAGAGTCCCAGGCCCATGGTGACAGTTTCCAGAGTCCCCCATTCATGTACGGACCCTTCCAGTGCCCAGTAAGAGTCCCAGGCCCAGGGTGTCGCATCACTGACTTAAAGCACAGCTTTGCCTCAGATGTAATTTAGAATATTCCACGCTAGCTATTGTTTGCCCACTCTACGAACTCATATTACAGCTTTAACTATGCTTTTTAAAGTGGGAAATGCTCTGAATGTAGCTAAGCAATGAAGAACCGCTCATTTAACCATGCAGTAATTCATATTTGCATTTTTAACATCATCAACAAATGTAAGAAAGCAAATGGAAGAAGATAAGTCTATAGGAATTGGAATTCTCATACCTGGATTACAAAACATTTGTGGCACAATAATAAGCACTCAGCTTCTAACCAATCGGTTAACAGTTCAAACCCATCCACTGCTCCACTGGAAGAAGCCAAGGAATTCTGCTTTTAAAAAGATTATGGTCTTTAACCAACACCACCCACTGCTATTGAGTTGATTTCTACACAAAGTGAATGTTTATAAACTTTCAGAGACAATAAATCTTCACAGCAGCAGACAGCCTTGTTTTTCTCCAGTGGAACGCCTGGTTTGAACCGCCAACCTTGTGGCTAACAGCCCAATGCCGAACCTACAGAACAACTAGGGATCCTTGCCTACGCTTTTGTTAAGCCTTACTGGTCTGGTTTCCAGTCATATACAACTAAAATGGCCTCCAATAATATAGAAACTATCCTAAGATCACCTTCAATTTTGGGTATTACTTTAATTCCTCATTTGGAACTTGATATTTTATTCCTTCAGTCCATAGACATAATGTTGGGAAAGTTATTCAATGAAATTTCCTCTTCTACCTTGTACTATTTAGTGTCCGTAGGTTTCATGTCCTGTCCTGAGAACAAGTTTGACAGAGGGACACGCTTTAATCAACAACAGCCTCCTTTGCCATGAGGCAAGAACTACCACTACTCAGAGTTTTTATCAAAGACCGCATAGCAGAAGCCTGTTCAATATGGGGAACGTGGAGTCTAATTCCAAATGCTCACGGGTTCCAGACTTCACGGAAACTGAATCTGGAGGCGTCTCTGGAACGACTGCCCTGAGATAATCTGTCAGCCTTCTATCTTGATGCTTCCTGAAGGACAGAAATGTGATGCAAAATGTGTGGCAATGATTGTGGGATGAACCAGAGCCACTAGAAAGTCTTCAAAGAAAAGACACTTTGATCTTGGAAGTAATATTAGGAGTAAGGACTCTGGCAATATGCCTGCCATTATTGACTTGACACTACTCATCTCTAAAGACCACTCTATAAAGCAGAGGAGGGCTGCCCTATCAGGTTTCCAAGCTGTACGCCTTTAAGGAAACAGACTGTTTAATTTTTCTCCTGTAGAGCTACTGGTGGGTTCAAACCACTGATCTTGCAGTTAGTAACTCAATGCATAGCCCACGGAGTCACCTGGATTCTAAGAAACACAAGGGCATGGAATTTTACACAACTCTACAACTAGCAATGTAGGGCTATGCATAGAGTAAGATCTAGACAGATAGCTTTCCACATCGTAGCATTTTTAACAGAAATGGTGTCTTCCTAACAAGCTGAAAGAAGCAAAACATAAATATTTTATAAAGTAAATTTTAAAAGAATGTTTTCCCTAAATTCCTGTGCTCACCAAGATCAGTTGTCTTCTAAGAAATTACCATAGAAAACACTATTATATTTGACTAATCCATTCCTTTGTTAGTATGTCATTGCAAAAATGATCATATAAAGATCATACCACTTATTTGACAAATATTAAATTAAGAAAGTTAAAAATAACTTTAGAAACTTAAAACAACTTGGCATAAAGTGTGTGCCCGAAATAAACAGCAACAGGACTCTCTTTAGTCTAATTTTAATAATATCTTATAATAATGTATCTGCATGGGAATATATTATCTTTATGTTTAAAAAAAAAATCAGCGGTTTCTCCTCTCTCCCTATCCTTCCTCTAACTTCTTAACTTCAAGGCATTCAACACCAGGGTATGGATTGATTCTTACAAATCTGAAATCTTTGAATCAAGAATTTACTTACATATGTGTGTCTACTTGGACATGTTATCAGGAGAGACTCAAACTCAGATGCAAACTCACTACCATCAGTTGATTCTGATACCTTACCACCCTACAGCTGAGGGTAGAACGGCTCCTGTGGGCTTCCAAGTCTCTCTTAGGAGAGCTAGTCCTGAAGAAGGTCCACATGCTTGAATATGTAGACAGGCAGCAAAGAAGAGGAAGAGCCTGGACAAGACGGATTGACACAGTGGCTGCAACGATGGACCTGAACAGAACCGTAATTGTGAGGATGGCCCAGGACCCGCAGTTTTATTCTGTTGCTCACAGGGCTACTATGAGTCAAAGTCCACTCAATGGCACTTAATAACAACATGTATATCTATAAGGAGCATTCAGCTGTAACTGCAAGGTCAGCAGTTGAAACATACAAATCTCTCCTTGGGCAAAGGGTAAGTTTATCTGCTCCCGTGAGGATTTTCAGTCTTGAACATCTTCACTAGGATAACTATGAGTTGGAATGGCAGTGGATAGCTGTATGTTTGTGTATGTGTGTGTAGATATATGAAGGGGCTTCAAAATGTTTATGGAAAATGAAATTTAAAAATAATGTCATGGCAACGTTTACAACCATTGTTGAAGCCACTGCGTCAATTCATCTCATTGAGGGTCTTCCTCTTTTTTTGCTGACCCTTTATTATACCAAGTATAATAAAATATAATAAGTCCTTCTCCCGGACTTATTCCTCCAGGTGGATGTCATTATACATTTATATATTACATATTCATGTGACTATAATATAATACATTCATATGAATATACATTCATATCTTTTATATGAATATATAATAGGAATTATATATTATATAAATCTAGATATAATTATATATATATACATATAAAACTTGATTCACCAAGAAATAGTGAAATTTCAAATTTAGCACACAAGGAAAAGTGGACTTGTTGAAATTACTCAAAATGAATTCATCTGAAATATGACCCAACACTGTTCCCAAAATAAATAATCTCAATGTGAATTCTCAATATGAGATTAATATTCAACCTGAATGAATCCTCTCAATATGACAGCAATGAGGAGCAAGGATGCTCAGATCACTGAAGCTGCAGGGGAAATGGGGCAACAAGGAAAAAGGCAAACTCCCATCGATTTTCTTGCCTCTCAGTTGTAGCCTCAGGGGAAACCTAAACCTGAAAGATGAGGGGTCTGACCTTGACTAACCTGCTTCCAGAAGTGCCCACAAAGATAGGGCTATAAAAGCAATAAATGGTGAAGTTAAGTGTCAAAAAACTACCCTCATTAGCTTCCATGTTTCACAGTCTGAGAGATGTACAACATATTACTGAACACTCAGGGGACATGCCTATGATCCAGCCAAGTCAGAATTCAGCCAACCACATTTTATTGCTTTTCACTGTTGCTACTGTCTAGTGTCTAGGTCTCCTCCAGGCCATAAAATAAGCTCCCAGTAATAATAGAGGCTGATGATAAATAGGATAGGACAGAAAAGTACCCAGAGATACCACAGCATAACAAAGCCGTTTGAACCAATTCCAAAACAGAGGTGAGAGACCTTCCCAATGGCCATGAGGAACTCTCTCTCTCTGATTTATTAACCCGATAGGACTACTCCAATACATTTGAGTCTTTTCAATAATCAATATTTTATTTTTTCCTTTTAATCATTCTCACACAAATATAGTTGAAAGTTACAATTTCATATCACAGCGAGTAAACAAGATGGACAGAAAAGACCACTCAGCTCTTGGCTATCAGAACTATGAGTCAAAGTCATTACTTCCACCTCCCTTGTCACTAGAAGTAAAATGAACGCATTTCGTCAGCCAGTCAAGTGTTTCCAGTGCAATTGTAATCTTTCCGATCAAATGTATAATGCAGTCTTCCAACACAAAGAACCAGGTCTTGGCTTCCTATTGTCACATAAGTTGGAAATAGACTTTCTAGTCTATCTCGGGCATCTTCCCCAGTGCTTTGCCTAGTAACATG